TGCTGCTTGGCCTGCTGTGTTCATCCAGCCTTGCACCTTGTTGTCTCGGATTCTCCAGCATCTGCAGTTCCTACTATCTCTGAATGATTACATTGAATCCAGATCTCTGAGTTGATTGACATGGCCATTCTTAATAATGTTACCAATAAAAGCAATGAAGTGATGCTTTACCTCTACAAATCATTGGTTAGATTACATTTGGAGTATCATGTTCAGTTCTGGACACCTTATTTAAGAAAGGATGTTAAAGTTTGGAGAAAGTTCAAAGGAGATTTACTAGAATGATAACAAGAATGAAGAATTTTAGATATAAGGGAAGATTAGAGAGATTTAATTTGATTTATTATTGTCATTTGTACCAAGGTACAGTGAAAAGTGTTGTCTTATGTGCTTTAACTGCAAATCATACTATACAAGTGCATCAGAGATTTACTGAAGAGTGCAGGATACAATGTTACAGCTGCCAAGAAAGTGCAGAGAGATTAACATTAACGTTAAAGAAGTCCATTCAAAGACTGATAACAGCAGGGAAGAAGCTGTTTGTATGTGTATACAACTTTGATATCTTCTGACTGATGGAAGAGGGTGGAGAAGAGTATAAGTAGGGTAAGAGGGGTCTTAGATTAAGTTTGTTGCTTTCCTGATGCAGCGAGAAGTATAGATGAAATCCAATGGATGAGAGGCTGGTTTGCATGATGGAATGGGCCGTGCTCATAACTCTCTGTAGTTGGGCTTGTTGTCCTTGCAGCAGAGAAGATTAAGAGGTGACTTTATTGAGGTGTTCAAAATTTAATAACAATTTTGAAAGGGTGAAGAAGGATATTCTATTTTCACAAGTTCATATGTCAGTAACCAGCGGTCACAACTTCAAGATTATCAGCAAGAGAGCTAAGAGAGAGATGAGGGAAAATGTCTTTACTCAGAGTAATATAGCATGGAAACAGGCCCTTTGGCCCAAACTGTTCCATGCTGACCATGGTGCCCACTCAGCTAGTTCCAATTGCCCGTATTTGGTCTGTATCCCTCTAAACCCTTCCCATCCATGTAGCTATCCAAATGATTTTTTTAAAATGTTGCTATTATACCTGCCTCAGCCACTTTCTCAGGCAGCCCATTCCATATACGCACCACTTTCTGTGTGAAGATGTTGCCCCCTCAGATCCTTCTTAAATCTTTGCCCTCTCACCTTAAACCTATGCCCTCTAGTATTCAATTCCCCATCCTTGGGAAAAAGACTATATGCATTCATCCTACCTATGCCCCTCATGATTCTATACACCTCAATAAGGTCATACCTCAATAAGGTCATTCCTCATTCTCCCACATTCCAAGGAACACAGTCCTATCCTGTCCAACCTCTCCCTATAACTCAGGCCTACTAGCCCTGGCAACATCCTCGTAAATCTTCTTTGCACACTTTCCAGTTTAATTATGTCTTTCCTATAACAGGGTGACCAAAACTGTACAAAATATTCGAAGTGCAGCCTCACCAATGACTTATACAACTGTAACGTAACATCCCAATTCCTATACTCAATGCCTTGACCAATGAAGACCAGCATGTTAAATGCCTCCTTCACCACCATGTCGACCTGTGACACCACTTTCAATGAACTATGTACTTGTACTCCTTGGTCCCTCTGTTCCACAACACTCCTCGGGACCTTACCATTTACTCTGTAAGTCCTATCTTGGTTTGACTTTCCAAAGTGCAACACCTCACACTTATCTGTAATTTGCCAATCCTCAGCCCACTTTCCCATCGGATCAAGATCCCTCAATGTCGTCATGGTCACCAAAGTTGCAGGAGCAAAGAAACAATTCCAGAAATTTTGAACATGTTTATTAAGTGAATCAGTCACAATAAAGTGTCTGTGAACAGAGAAAAAAAAACAACCAGTGAAGAGGTATGAAATAGCTGCGCTCTTTTCAGCCTGTTGCTTGGTCACAATAATATTTTAAAATCTTTTCTAGCAAGTGGCTATACCAATTAAAATGCATTTAACAAAATTTTATTGTAGCACTCAGCCAATCACAAGATTTTATTGAGTTAAAAATCAGGTTCAGTACTTGCTAACCCCAAGAAAATTAATAAGGATATGACTTCAAGTCTATGAGAAGTCTTTTTCTCACAAAAGCACACACAAATACAAAGTTGAAAAGATATAGTGTCCAATACCAAAGGAACATGAAAGAATTATACACTTTACAGTCCATTGGATGTTCTGGAGGTACAAGGTTTTAACCTAAAATCATGATTGATTAGTTTTGTTCTAGGAACTATCAGCTGTCCTGAATATTGCAGTTATCTTTTTAAGTTCTTGGTTTCCTGATGTTTCTTTACAGTTAGTTTTGTTATTGGGCATTTCTTCTTAAGGAATAGGGAGAGAAACTTTCTCTAGCCTTTTTCACTTCTGCAGTCTAAAATCTATCTCCTCTGCTTCTGCCTTAGAAGAAGCCTCCTGAAACAGAAGCTTGTTTGTATATTCAGTCTGTTGGGTTCATTGTGTTCAGGCTCTAGAACAGTAAATCACAAAGGAGTTGAGGGCCTTTTCATGCCTCACAGGATTGGAATTGACTGGTTTTAATGTTGTTGGGAAAACTGTTAATTTCAGCTCAGATTGTCTTGCTGCCCATGTTTTGTTCTGTGAAATTTGGCTAGCCAGTGATCAAAACATTGTGGTACTATTTCAATTGTTTTATCTGTTATAATCAGCTGTGTGAAACTTCTGTTAAAGAGTTTGACAAAGTAACAAATATATAGCCCATGAACTGCTTTAAATGTGGAGTGAAGGAACCAGAACAACAACTTACATTTATATAAATGACAATTTTATTCAAGAAGGGTGCTACGGATAAACCAAGGAACTTACAGGCCAGTGAATCTAACATGAATGGTAGGGAAGGTAATGGAAAAATTTCTTAGCAACATAATTTATCTCCAATTGGAGAGGCAAGGATTAATGAAGGATAGTCAGTTTTATTTTGTCAGGGGCAAACTATGTCTGACAGGTTCGATTTGAGTTTTTTGAGGAGGTGACTAGGTGTGTAGATTAGGGTAGTGCAGTTGATGGAGTCTACATGGACTTCAGTGAGGCTTTTGACAAGGGCTTGCATGGGAGGCTGGTCAAGAAGATAACAGCTCTTGGGATCCAGGGCAATTTGACAAATTGGATCTTAAACTGGCTTAGTGGCAAAAGGTGAGGGGTGATTATTGAAGGTTATTATAGGGACTGGAAGTGGAAGCCTGGGTCCAGTGGCATTCCACAGGGTTTGCTGCTGGGACCCTTTCTGCTTGTAGTGCACGTGAATGATTTGGAAACGAAGGTACAAGGTTTGATCTGTAAGATTGCAGATTATGGAAAAATTTGTGATGGGTAAATAACAAGGAGGAATACTTCAAGATGATATTGACAGGCTGGTCAGATAGACTGTACGTTGGCAAATGAAATGTAACCCTGAAGAGTGTGAGGTAATTCCTTTTTGCGGGGGACTAACAAGGCAGGGGTATACGTGATGAATGGTAGGACCCTAGGAAGTACAAAGAATCAGAAGGACCTTGGTTTGCATTTCCACAGATCCTTGAAGGGAACAGGACAGACGGATGAGGTGGTGAAGAAATCAGATAGGATACTTCCCTTTTATTAGTCGAGGCACTGAATCCAAGAGGAGAAATATTGATTGAGCCATACAAGATGTTAGTTAGGGTACAGCTTTGGAGGACTGTATACAGATCTGGT